CCAGGTGCTCCAGTAACTCCAGCCACATGAATGGTATTGCTCGTTTTAAAAGCTCTACTAAGCTCTATTTTATTTATTTATTTATTTTTTATTCGGCATTTTCTTTCTCTTTTTCAAGAAAAAAGATTGTCAATATAATAATGCTACATGCAATAAACAATATTTCAAGAAATACAATTTAAATATAACTAGAGGCCTGTTGCCCAGATTTGTGCACCAGTGGGGTCCCTTGGCCTGGCCTGCGCCCTCTCACCATCCGGGACCCCTCAGGACATGTCCGAGCCCCACAGGCCAGGTGAGGGACCCCACAGGGCCTCTAGTATGCATATAAGATCTTTGGTTAATCTCTTCCTACCCTCCTTCTCCCCCCTCCCCTCTGAGATTCATCAGTCTGTTCCATGTTTCCATGCCTGTGCGTTGAGCGTCTGCCCCCTGGTGATCATTGTGCATCATAGCTACTGGCCGGTCAGCCGGTCAGCTGGTCTTTTAAGCTTTTATATATAGAGATAATGATGTGAAGGTATCAAACCCTGGCATTTAAGAGGTGGATGAATTGCCTGAAAGCACACAGCTAGAGAGGGTAAGGCCAGAACCAGAGCTCTGATTGTCTGAACTTTTGCTTAGCGAGGGAAGCCACTTCAGTGTTAGTGAAGCATTTAAGAGTCTGGACAGATTCCTATCAGGCAGACATAGGCTTGAATCTGATTCTAACTGTGTGACTTTTGGCAAGCTTGTTCATCTAGAAGAGGAGAATAATAATACCTTCTATTTCACAGGGTGTTTATAAAGAATAATTCAGAGGGTTTAGGCAGAATGCCTGGCATATGATAAGCACTCAACATGTTATTTCTATTATATGGTTTCTCTTCCACTTTTTTTTGGATCATGAAATCATTGTGTCCTTGACCTTATGCCTTAGGTTTCTTCCATGCCTTTCATAAACATGAAGAGGAAGTCATAATACATTGTATTTTATCTCAAAGGAGCACTCAGAACTACTAAGCAGTCTTTTCTCTTATTTCTTGCTGATCTCAGTTTGCATGCCCTACTGTGGCTCTTCTAAACCTCCTCCTCCACCCTGAAGTCCCTAAGCCCTCGCTGTATTCATCACTTTCAGCAGATGGTCATGTATTGTAATTCATTTGTTAACGTTTAAGATCATGTGCCCTGAACTCCTTTAGTGTCCCTATACTTCATCTGATTTCTCGTCCTCTCCTCTGTCTCAGATACAGTGACTTCTCTTATGTCCCAGGGCTCTTGAAAATGCCTCCTTTTGTTCCTTGGGAATGTTGCTTCAACAATTTTTCTCTCCCTCATTTGCCCTCTTTGATTTCCCCACCTCGCTAGGCTCAACTACTTTCAATTCTCCTGACCAGGCCATGTGCTCCCCTCTGCCTCTATACTTTTGCACAAACTGCTCTGCCACCCAGGAATTTCCATTCTCCAGCTTCCTTCAAGCCTCAGCTCTAGCATTACTTCCAGGTTGGCTGCCCTTCCTACACATCCCCATAACCATCTATAAACCCATGACTCCTAGAGTAAAACCTGGGTTATATGGCTCTACAGCCCAAAAGCCTTCAATGACTTTCTATGACCTCTTAAATAAAACCCAAATTCCTATAAAATTTAGTAGAGTATAATTATCTTTGATTTTTTTTGTCCAAACTATTTGGATTTAAGCTCTGGCTACTATATTTACCTTTTCTGTGACTTTGAACTTATCGCTTAATTTTTATTCAGCATGTATTTATTTAACATCTACTGTGTTCTAGACTCTGTCCCAGGTACTTGGGATATAGTGATGGGCCAAACAGACCTTGTCCTTTTTCTTCTGAACCTTACAACACTCAGACCTGTCTCTATTTCTCATAATCATAGTAACCTATGTACAGGCCATGCCTCCCTCTCTTGATGCTTTTAGCATTTGGTTTGTTCTGTGCAGGATATTATAATGCCATGTATCATGGTTATTTGCATATGTGTGTTATCTCTCAACCACATAGTAGGTTCACTGAAGAGTAGGGGCCATCTCCCATTTCCCATAGTACAAGCATGAATTCTGTTGATTTTTGTAGACCCAGGGTTAGACTTTGGAATCGTTATAATATCTTGTATGTTTTAGATGCTCCCATTGTCTGTCAGATTTATGCATTAAAATGGGGAAATAAATAAGGGCTATTTTGTTTCTATTCATTCTAATGTCTATCCTTCCAGCCTATGACCTGTCTATAATTATTGTAAGTAGAATTTGCGATGTTTATAACTTGTGTACATAAAAATTTTAAAAACTGAATCACAAATCCACTCTGCTTCCTAGTAGAAAATATTATTCATATGCATAAAACAGAATGTTAAAATAATGTTCTTTTTACTAAATAGCTTTTGAGTTGGCAATAAACAATATGCTGTTTTTCCCTGTGAAATAATTCTAGGACTTTAGTCCTGAAAGTTAATTTTATTTTACACATTTTCAGCTTACTGTTTTTATGTTCCCGTGATCTTACATTAAGTTAAGCATTTGTCTATCCAAAAACAATAGGTCAACTATAGCTGAATTATAACCATACCTTTCATCTGCACACAAAATCCTATTACAAACAGCATGTGACCATTTGCTTCTAGAATTTATGATTGTTTTGTTCCAAAAGGAAGCTAAATTTAGCCTAGTAATTCTACATGCTCCCAAGGAAACAATGCCTGCTGTGATCTCTAGAATAAATGAATCTGAACCACAATTCCTTTACTTAACTGAAAATTTTGAATATCAACCTAGTCATCAACCACCGACATCAAACCACATTAAACAAACAGCAAAGGGGTAAGAACGAAATTTCTTATGTTTCTGACTTCATTGCTGAATGAGTCTCACTTGGTCGCACTGTCATTCTTAATACAGAACATTGCTTGCATCTCATAATGGTTCTCTAAAATTACTCATTCTGGCTTGAGTTCTAAAATTAAACTATGTGGAGTCACGTCCAAGGGCACAATGCATCTTTATGCGAGACCAGCTAGAGTTTTTGTTTTCACCCGATGTAAAATTTTCAGTAAGGAAGCTTTGTTTCTAATAGCTTAACTGGTATAGTTCTTTCCATATCTTCTTTGTTTCTAGTGACAACTAAATTGCTGTCTCCTTGTATGTGTTCTGACAGATAAAGTCACCATGAAGGCCCCTACCGTGCTTACCCCTGGCATCCTTGTGCTTCTGGTCGCCTTGGTGCGGAAGAGTGATGGGGAGTGCAAGGAGGCGCTAGTAAAGTCTGAGATGAATGTGAACATGAAGTATCAGCTTCCCAACTTCACTGCGGAAACGCCCATCCAGAATGTGGTTCTCCACAAGCATCACATCTACCTCGGTGCCATTAACTACATGTATGTTTTAAGTGACAACGACCTGCAGAAGGTTGCTGAGTACAAGACGGGGCCCATGCTGGAACACCCGGAGTGTCTCCCATGTCAGGATTGCAGCCACCGAGCCAATGTTTCTGGTGGCGTTTGGAAAGATAACATCAACATGGCTCTGCTTGTTGACACGTACTATGACGATCAGCTCATTAGCTGTGGCAGCGTTCGCAGAGGGACCTGCCAGCGGCATGTGCTTCCTGCCTACAACACTGCTGACATCCAGTCCGAGGTACATTGCATGTACTCCCCACAGACAGATGAAGGGTCCGGCCAGTGTCCTGACTGTGTGGTGAGTGCCCTGGGAACCAAGGTCCTGATTTCTGAAAAGCGCCGGTTCGTCAACTTCTTCGTGGGCAATACCATCAATTCTTCCTACCCTCCAGACTATTCTTTGCATTCGATATCGGTGAGAAGGTTAAAGGAAACTCAAGATGGTTTTAAGTTTCTGACAGACCAGTCCTATATTGATGTTCTCCCTGAATTCCGAGATTCTTACCCCATCAAGTATGTCCACGCCTTTGAAAGCAACCATTTTATTTACTTTTTGACAGTCCAACGGGAAACCCTCAATGCTCAGTCTTTTCACACAAGAATAATCAGGTTCTGTTCGGTAGACTCTGGGTTGCATTCCTACATGGAAATGCCTCTGGAGTGTATTCTCACGGAAAAGAGAAGAAAGCGATCCCCAAGGGAGGAAGTGTTTAATATTCTTCAAGCTGCCTATGTCAGTAAGCCTGGGGCCCATCTCGCTAGGCAGATAGGCGCCAACCCGGATGATGACATTCTCTATGGAGTGTTTGCACAAAGCAAGCCGAATCGCTCTGCCGTCTGTGCATTCCCTATCAAGTATGTCAATGAATTCTTCAACAGGATCGTCAACAAAAACAATGTGAGATGTCTTCAGCATTTTTATGGACCCAACCACGAACACTGCTTTAATAGGGTAAGTCACACAGATTCCCCACTTACAAATGATGAGGTATAAAGCAGAATGGGTATCAGTCTAGAAAAGAATACCAATGCCTTCTGGGTGCTTGGTAAATGGTCTTAATCCAAAATATTTGTATATTCTTTCCAAGAAAATTTAGAAATTAAATCTTCATTTAAAAGTAAAATCACAGTTTGAGAAAAACTCAATGTGGTATTTAAAAGAAAAAAATAGTATATTTTTACAATTTGGGTTTGCATATTTGCCAATGCTTCAGATTATTAAATTTATTTCTCATATAAGCTTGAGTAGTTCTGGTCAGATTTACACAGAGTTTAACGCAACAGCAATTTCTATAAAACACAATTATTAAGATCTCAGTAGAGTCTTTATAACGTTTTAAAAGGCTTTTTACTTATGAGGCACCATTTCCTCACGAATATGCAAATAAATGGCCTATATTTTTGGCATTACTTAAAGAAATATGTAATTCTAAGATCAAAACAATCCAAAAATATCTTCCAAAATGTTGGTAAATAAAACATCTTCCAATGAGCTAATATACTTCTCTAAATAACCTGGGATGCTAGAGAGGAAATTTTCTTGCTCCCCAAATCCTTGCTATGTGTTTTTTTTAAAAAATACACAAACAAACCCATATATTTCTTTTGAACATTAACTTTCACTAGTGCAAATGTAAGTTTCCTTTACTGTTAGTGTCTGGTTAAACGAGCTTCTGAGATGCCATTCTGACATGTGCTTTTCTGAGAAAAAGTTTAGGGTCAGTGTTGAATCATACTTCTCCCTTCCCCCAAAAAAATAACCCTGAGGATGTTCATGATTAATTTCCATTTCTATTCTTTTTTTAATTTTTTTTATTAGAGTTAACATACCTTATTATATTGATTTCTGGTGTACATCTGTGATTAGACATTACATAACTTACTAAGTGATCATCCCAATAAATCACATACCATTCATACCGATTAAAAATATC